CTTGGCCATGGTGCATAGTTACAGAAGGGAGATGAGATTAAAAACCCTAAAGCTATTTCCAAATAATAGCGAATAGGCGAGCTACAGAATCCTCCCTTGGAGAAAAGTCCTTTGTCTCTGAGTTCTACTCCGCCCCCAGCAATGTTAGTCTTCAAATCTTTAGAAGGAAGAAGAAAAGAAAAAGAAAAAAATCCTTACAGAATAAATATAAATCAGTGGTGTACAGATGGAGGCATGTTGACCTGGCCCCTGACCAGCACAGGGGATGTGGGGGAAATGCTCAGTGGGCTCCCTATCATTTCCTTCATCCCCTGAGCTATCTCCCATGCAAGAGAAGACCCTGAGCAGAAAGCCATCTGCAGACCCAGGGGTCTAAATCAACGGGGCTTGGTGAGCATATAAATCTCCAAGCCATGAGCAAGAAACACCTGCTTTCAGGCAGGGCAAAGCCTGGACTGCCTTTGGAGGTGGCTCAAAGAGCAGCTTCTTGGTCCTAAATACTTCTCAAGGCAATGTGCTGTTTGCCATGGACATGAGCGCCGTCCCCCAGAAGGGACAAAGCTCCTACCACCCTCCACGCTCACCTTCCGTGCTTGCCTCAGGAGCAAGTGCAGCAAGGAAGGAAGCAAGCAGCCACACTGTCAAAAATAAATGTGGGAGCAAGATAGTTCTGCCCCATTTTTATGTCAGGCCAACGTGTCCCTCTTTTTCAGAGCTGTCCTCGCCTGTCCACATCCTCAGGCAGCAAGCCAACCTCTCCCAGCCGTGACATGTGTGTCTGCAGGGCCCTCAACAGACCGAGCTCGCCTTGCCTGGCAGATGCTCAATAGATTAGTCAGCAAGGAAAGACGAGTGGATTCCTTGGGAGGAAGGTAATGTTGGATGCTCTCCGTGAGTTTCTAGGTGAACTGGTCACATACGCTATGATTTACTAAAGCAGAATCTCATGACTCGTTAGGGAATCGCCATGTTGGGCCATTCAGTCGTTGGAAAGCGTGTGTCAACAGGGGTCTCAGGAGGGCAGGATCCGCCACCCCCAAACTTGCCTCTCCACGGAAGCCTCTGCCTCTCCCCACCTGAGTGCCACTCACTCCATGGCCATGGCTGGAAAGACAAAGCTGATGACTCACTAGCTGTGAAAATCTGAGCAGAGCACTCAGCCCAAGGGACCTTCCTTGATGAGCGCAGATTAAAGCCAGTGGTGGGTTTTCAGAAGCACCGAGGAGCTAAAGTGCTGGGTGGGGAGCAGCACTAGCTTCTTGTCCTCTAAGTACCTTGCCGGGGCCGGACAAAAACCTCCATGTGCTCGTGGATCTCACACCTGGAGCTCTACATATTCTAAGTAAGGAGTTCACGGCCCATGAATTTACATTATTGGATTTGGCAGAAAATGTGGGCTATGGAGACAAAAAGAGAGAGTTTTAAGCCCTAGCTCTGTTGCTTACAAGCACAGAGGCCTTGGGCAGAGTCCCCACCCATTAACTGGAAGGTAATAGCACTTCCTATCCGGGCGACGTGACACCCGACGGCTGGCGGGTCCCCTCGCGTGTGGGCAGGGGCGGTGGCACTGACAGGGGACAGCAAGCCACCACCCCCGCTCCTCCAGAACATGGCCAACGGCAGACGGGAACACCGGTCACCCCCAAATCCTCACCTAGGCCTCCTCCACCCTGTCCCTCCCATGAAGCCACAGCGCGTCCTTCTCCGTCCCTTTCCCTCCATCCAAACCTTCAGGTTGACATATAACTTTGGGAAGGATTCAAGTCAGAGTGCTACTTCCTCCAGGGACATCTGCATTTTTAACTCTTTAAATCTCTTTAAATCTGTGGACTTCTGCACTCCTACCCATAGACATGCATGCACAGACTGATAAACTATTGTCAAAGATCCAGAGAAGAAGCTTCCGGGGCAGGAGTCACCATGCCCCACCCCCTCTCCAGTCAAAATCCTCCCTTCCCACCTGCAACCGCTAACCTGATCCTACCAGAACCCCTTCCTCACTGTCTTTGTGGCTCTGGACATTCCGTGCATGTCTCCTGCTGCAAACATGAGTGCACGTCTCCGGAGCCACGCCACATCCCGTCACCCACACGTCCGGGGCAAGCGGATTCTGCACCCGCAGCGCCCCCAGCGGGGGAGGGTCTGTGCATCCGTGTCCTCACCAGCACATCACACATCACTTTTTCATTGCTGCTAATCAGGGTGGGGGGGGGTGTGTGGAGGGGAAATCTCACTGCAAAGTTAATTTGTATTTCCCTGGTACTAATGAGCCTACACACTTTCTCCTGTGTTCACGGGTCATTAGGTTTTCCTCCTTTATAAAACTCTGTCCAGGAGTTTTGACCATTTTTCTGCTAGAGTGTCTCATCTCATTCTCCTTATCAATTAGTAGGAATTTGGGTATTTTGTATTAATGGCTTAAGAATACATAATTATGGAATAAAGGAATACTTCCCCTTTTGAAGGGCCTTCTGGGAGAAGCAAGAAGGTGGAGGATTTGGGGGCAGGAGATCGGACACCTCGCTAACACGTGGATGTCTGCTTTCCTCCCCATGGCTTGCCTCACCGTGTGTTTGCACATGTTCATAATAAACACACACGTGCATGTTCTAAGTGATATTTATAGCCACACTTTAAATCTCTTGTCACATTTTTATAGCGTGTATTTATAGGGTAAGCTTGGTGTGAACTCCAGGGCAAAAGATAATTGTTGAACCCCGAGGCTTACCTGATTTTAATAAAATGGATGAAAACCACTCCCATCGTTTACAGCGAGTGGATAATGTGCACTAGCCATAGGACGCACCCTCTCATTTACCAGTGAAGAGACGAGGATGTACCTAGAGAACAAGTGCCTGGCTCTTTGCAGATTAAAAATGTGACCCTCTGTTGTGATGTCAGCATCACAATCCCATGCAGAGTCATGCCCTATCGCCCTGCTTTGCTGTGTTATTTGTGAGGCTCTGTCAACATCTGGGAAGAAGTTAAAGTATATTATGCAAAAGTTTGGCATAAAGTGTTCTTGCATGTGTGTGTGTGTGTGTGTGTGTGTGAGAGAGAGAGAGAGAGACTGTGTGTGTGTGGGTGTGCGTGTGACTGAGCACTCACTATGAGTTTGTGTGTGCATCGTGCACGCATGTGTGAGCGTACTCGTCCCAAAACTCCCCGGCCTCAGACATTCTCAACAATTCCCCAAACTCTGCAGAGTTTCTGAGCACAGGCACCTGCTCTCCCACACCCACATTCCTGCAGAATAAAAGCATGATGCAGCGGGGGGTTAGGAGAACTTTTCCTTAGTGCACTGGAAGTTACAGAGCGTGCCCATAGTATGAGCAGCTGAGAGGTGACCCAGCCCCGAACTGCAGCCCAGAACTGAAAAGAGATGCTCACTTGCAGACAGCGAGTCTGAGAGCAGAGCCCCCAACCTTCACCACAAGTCTGACCTGACCCACTGAGCCTTGCCCACAGTCCCCACACAAGAACCAGACCTTTAAGCACACTGTTTTCCATAATCCATCACGTGGACCAAAAAGTCCACATGGACTGCAGCATTTCTATATAGTCAAATTATAATTTCTATAATTATAATTTCTGGTACCTGGTTGAAAAAAAATGTGTAAGTGGACAGTACAGTGGTTTGACTCCAAAAACAAAGTACTATTTGGAGAATGTAAGAAATTCAGCCAATTTTGTACATGGCTTTCCAATAAAGATCTTTCAGACACAACTTAATTTTCTAACAGTATCACTAAAATCACAGAAACGGGCATCCCCCCGGCTTTCTCCTTCGTAAAATAAAGCTGGGTGTCTAGTGGTGCCGCACACCCGAAATAAAATGCGTATATGACAGTATCTCCCAGAGTGAGGGACACACAGAGAGGCAAACTGCGTGTGTTCATTTTCCTCTTTCTTTCATTTACTCAACGAGTTCATAAAAGAATTATTAGGTGCAAATGTTAGCTCACTAAAAATATTTGTCAGCAATTTTTAGCTCTTGGATAACCAAAGAGTTTTTTTTAAAATAAATATATTTTAATTTCACATGATGCACACCCCGTGGCTTTTAAGTGATGACCAGTCACTGGAAATATTAGGTTTCATGTTACTGTTAATTACAGATGTCATCATGCTGAAACAGTTACGAGTTCTGCCCTGTGCCTTGGCTCCTGGTGTAAACGTCTGAATCATGAACAGAATTCCTAATTACAAGATGTCTGACCTTTAAAAAAAAAATAAGTCTAAAAGTAAATCCTAAATGCAAATGTTTCAATATTTTACATGAAAAATCAGGAACATGCTTTGTGCTTTATTATCACCGTGGCTGTTTCGACAGTTTAACTCAAGTCTAATCTAGGAACCTTGATACAAAGATCATGAATCCCCTCAGAGACAGTCTGATAATCCTCCCCACACCCCAGCCCTGCCAATTAATCACGACTCAAGCTGTAAAACATTCTCCAGGAAAGATGACCAGAATCATTTATATCATTTTTGGTAAAATGTTAAAGGAAAACAGACTATTTCATAGGTTGTACTCCTGGCGGTAACGCCTTCGTGTATCAGGCCCTCTTAGGAGTAATAACACAAATAAACCATCTGGAAACGGACTTACAGAGAATGATCCTATTCTTCTTTGCAAACATATACATATAAAACCAGACCTTTTCTTTTTCTTTCTTTCTTTTTTTTTTTTTTGCCAAAGAAAACATGTGGTGGTTTCCACTGCTGACTACAGTCCTTGTGGTCATTCCTAAAAAACTCAGAATTCTGAATCAAAGAACCTATCAGAGTTCAGACAAGATCTTCCACTGGTAAAACTGTCTTAGAAACAGTTTTCACCATATTTTAGGCTTTGTCCCGCGACAGAAACCCAGTTCCTGTGACTCCTCGCAACCACCTACACTGGATTTCTGCGCAATTGTGCGCAGACACGGGCGGGTGACCAGAATGACGGGGGACAGGGCTCCGTAGAAGGCTCGGCCGCACACTCGCGGACCTACCCGGGCACCGGGGCGTCTTGTGGGCCACAGCCGTGCCGCTGACGGGCCTCCCGTTGGGCGTGACGCACCAGCAGTATCCGGTGTAGCTGTGACACTGCACCTGGGGACGGCGGGACAGGGGGTCAGCACCTCTAGGACGCGCGCTTCTCCCCTCGCGGCGTCTGCACGCTCCGCGAAGGACGGGCTGGCCCTGCGCCCCGGGGCCTTAGCGAGCGCACCACCGTGACCGCGGGCCTAGTGCGCTGCGTGCCCGGGCGCGGGCTGCTCAGCTGTGGGGGACGCCCGTCCGTCCGAGCTGCAGCCACACCTCATGTCACCGCCGGGCAGCGGGGCCCCAGGGCGTCCAGGGACACGCTCAGCCACTCCCCGCTGCACCGCGGCAGACGTGAGGAGAGGGCACGGCATCCCTCCTGCTCTGCCCCCACCCTAGGGTCTCCCCGGCATCCCTCCCGCCCCCCAGGGTCTCTCAGGCATCCCTCCCGCCCCCCCCCGGGGTCTCCCCGGCATCCCTTCCACCCCCCGGGGTCTCCCCGGCATCCCTCCCGCCCCCCCAGGGTCTCTCAGGCATCCCTCCCCGCCCCGGGGTCTCCTCGGCATCCCTCCCACCCCCCGGGGTCTCTCAGGCATCCCTCTGCCCCCAGGGTGTCCCCACCATCCCTCCCCGCCCCGGGGTCTCCCCGGCATCCCTCCCCCCCCCCCCCCGGGTCTCTCAGGCATCCCTCCCGCCCTCTGGGGTCTCCCCGGGCATCCCTCCCACCCTCCCCAGGGGTATCCTTGGCATCCCCACCCCCGCCCCCGGGTCTCTCAGGCATCCCTCCTCCACCAGGGTATCCCCCGCATCCTTCCAGCAGGGGCTCCACCCTCAGAATTAAACTGAGACTGGATCCTCAGAGATGAGCTGGGTGCTCAGGGGCTGACCCGCCTCACGGAGGGAGCTGTGCCAGACCAGCACACAGTGAGTGACACAGGTGGACAGCATGGCCCCAACAGAGACACCTGCACCCAGAAAGGTGTGAGTGAATTGGCTCGCACAACTGTCCGTGAAAGTCAGCCCTGTCATTCACTCACTTCCAACATGCGCAGTGAGTTGTCCCCCTGGAGCCCCGGGCCCTCCTTCCCACAGCCCCTGCCCCCGCTGCTCAGGTGCAGAAGCTGCAGGGCGAGCTGGTCACCTGGCTGTAGGTGCCGTCATCGTTGCATTCCGGGATGAACACCTGCTGCAACTCCTTGCGGGCCTGCTCCTGGGTGTACTTCCTCTCGGCCACACACCTGGACACATCTGCAGGAAGGAGCCGAGCAGAAGAGCAGAGGTGTCACACAACCGGGAGATGCAGATGCGTGAGTCACCGCGGCCGGTGGGGGGCAGGGCGGAGGGTCCCCCGAGGAAGGACTACAGGCCTGCACAGTAAGAAGAGCAGGGTGCTCTCTGCTCTTAATGAGCAGACACTGAGGCTCAGAGATGGCCGCCCTGCTTAATCCCGTACAAGATGGACTTTGCTGCCCGAAGGCGAAGACGTCCCCCTTTGGTCCGGCCAGCTGCAGACAGGCGTCTGTGGGTCCGAGGAGGTGTGTGAGCACACCAGCTCCAGGACACACTGCGCCAGGTCTAGAAGCCCCGCTAAGACCAGACCCAACACCCTGGCCCTCAGCCGCGAGGTCTGAAGACCGCCTCGGCCAGGAAAGGACAGTGGCCCTCCCGTCTGTCACGCTGCCCCAGGGTCTCAAAGCCATACTGAGGTCCTGCCCCCCAAAACTGCAAGTGGAAAATCTGACAGTAAGTCAGATAAAAAGTCAAACATCCTTAGCCCTCCCTCCACTCTGTCCCATATTTTCAGACTTTTGTGTTAACATCACTATAACATAATTCAATAAAAAGTGCCACGTTCCTCCTGCTCCTCAAGGAGTGATCACCTGGGTCCCAATAAGTTCACAAAAAAGGGAGAGTCTAAACACATTGGAGTGTGTCTACTCTCTCTCTGGACACCGGGAGTTTGGAGACAGACCCTCAAACCAAACACAGAGACGTGTGTGCGCGAGGGACACGCCAGCCTCGGAGTGAGTCCCCTCTGTCATCCCCACAGCCTGCAGCAGCCTGTGTCCAACCTCTGGGACCAGAAGGTGTCATAATTCCTGCTGCGAGCGCCCTTCGTCCAGTGACGGCGCCGAGGTGTGAGCCCTACCTAGCACACCGGCACAGAGGATGTAGCAGAGCACACCCACGTGCATCGTCCACAGCCACGCGCCCCAGGACGCCTCCACAAGCTCATGTTCCCTTCCTCGGCCGCCATACGATGTCTCTCATCGGAGCTTTCAGACTTGAAAAGAATAGCTTTCCCAGTTTTTCTAAAGTGTTTCCAGATTTAAATAACAAGTTGTCGAGATCTTAAAGGCCCTCTGGACTCTGAGAGATACTTCTTCAAACGTGTCCACTGGCCAAGATCTTTAGATGGTGACTTTTGATTGCCTGGTAGTTGAAACTGCTGGGTCGGACAGCATACTATCTGGGCACCCGCTCCAGGGACCTGGGCCGTGGCCACGGCTCCAGCAGCATCCGCGTGCTGAATATAGACTCTGCCGCTGAACAGACTCATCCTGGGCTTCGGTGGGACCCTGGGTTGCAGGCTGTTCCGCACACTGCAGAAAACAGCCTTTCATCCAGGCGCAGTGCTCAGGCCCTCATCTATGGTTTGGCCTGGACAGCCAGCACTTGGCAACATGTGGTTTTAGTGCACTCTGTGTTTTAGCTGAGGACAAATCACTGCTTTGCTAGACTTCTGTCATTTTTTTAGTATAGCCTGTGGTTTGACTGTCTAAAAGGAAAAGTGATATGACTTCCAGCTTGCAAGGTCTCTACCAGGGTACAGATGGAATTACAAATCACTTCTAATATTTGAGCTATCATGGAACATGCCAAAATAGCATAAATTTTCCAAACAACTCGTGGGCCTTGTTCCTGGCTTGGATGTCTTCCTTCAAAGACTCTCCACTTACTTCTGATCAGCTAGTCCTCAAACAGGCAGCTCTCATCTCTGACGGAAGATTAAATTCTCAGTTTTCATCCGGCACGTTACTCGCAGGAGGCAAGCCTGCGGCACTAAACTGTGGGGTCTGTGTCAGCTGTCCCTCGAAAATCAAGGTGCCGTCTGCCTCCACCTCCTGCCTGTGCTCCTGACTCTAGATATTCTAAATCAGGGTCTTTACCATTGAGAAGGGTCAGCAGCCCACCAGAGCGATTCTACTGACATATGCAAAAACACCAGGAATTTCACTCAAAATTAGTAATATCTCCCATTCTCTTTAGTTTGTTACTTGCTATATTGCAGTCAGAACACTCCACACGAGATCTACCGTTTTATCAAGCAGTTCACTGAAGGTGCCGTGTCCCGTAGTGATCCTGGGTGGTTGACACTCTCCCCTGCATCCTTAACGTCACTTTAAACCCTTACACGGCTAACGTATACCCACTCGGGCTAAATCAAATGCCCCTCTTTACAGAAATCTCAGTAGTAAGCACAGCGAGATGAGAGGTGAGACTGGATGTTTTTCTGGGTGGTGACTGGGTCTGGAATGGCTACCACATGGTTCTGACTTTGAGCCTGGTGCTGTGTGCTGAGGTCCAGACTGTGCTCGCTGCTGCGTGCTCGTGGCCCAGCGCAGGCCCAGCACGGACGGGGCCGGCCTCAGAACGGGGGAGCTGGATGAGCAGAGGCTACCAGACAAAGGAGACACACTCTCCTGGGGCGGTGGCCACAGAAATGCTGGTCCTATGTGTGACATGCCTTTTATTTGTACTGGCATCCAGTGAAGGCAGACGCTGTGTTTCAAAGGTTGTAATATTTTACCCACCCATAATTTTGAAGGCCAGACTGTGAGAAAAATTAAGGATTCTGTGCTGCAAATCTCTTTGCATAAATAGAACATTCTTTCTCTCCCTAATATAGGTGGCTGTGCTGTGATAAAAGGCCAGCAAAATGGGCAAGGTGACCCATCCACCCTCTGCATCTGGGCAGTGAGGACAGCAGGGCTGTACGTCCACAGAACCAGCCCTTGACTGTAGCCCTCCAGGGCTAGAGGGGAAAGGAACAGAGTTTCCTTTTTAAATGACTATTATCAGTTTAAATGCAAAGGAACAGAAACAAATTATAACAGGAAAACCTTTAGTCCATGATTGGGCTTGCCAAGTCATACAGGAAAAAAATTAGATACCCTGCAAACTCTTGCAAGAATATATTATTCAGACAGGTTTTATAACATTTATATAGGAAACGACTGATGACAACCATCTGTATGGTAATTGATAACCATGAGCATCCAGGCATCGAAACAGACCCCTGCAAAACTGTCACCAACTCTCCTTTAACCAAGTGAGTGCAACCTTCCCAGGACAGACAGGCCGACACTGTGCTGAGATTCTCCTGGTTCTGCTGATGAACTAACACTCTGAGAATGTAGGTATTGCTAAAGCAGAGGGAAGATTTTTTTTTCACGTAACATTCCAAAAAGTTCTCTTGTGTTTCTGATTGCAGCTTGAACGTGAAAGTGATGGTACTACCTCTTGTCGTGTCAACTTTAGTCCATAGGAAGGACATTTCTACATCATACTTATTAGAACGCCATAAAGGAGTTAAGGCAAACATGATTTGTGTAGGGTTTCAGCAAGAGACAAACACAGATATGATTAAAAAGTCCTCGAACACCACCTTATGTCACGGCTATCTCAGAAAGCCCTCTGTGGGCAGGAAGAGGTGTAGCTTAGACGCTGCAGGTAGCACTGACAAGGACCCAGCCTAAAGACCAGACAGAAGAGTCACTACACACAGGTGCACATGGAGTGCACGCACACACAGATACACACATGCACGCGGCTACATGCACGCATGTGTGCACACACACAAACACATATGCACACATAAGATACACATGTGCACAGAGCCATGTGCACATGCTTACATGCACACATGTGCACACATGCACAGAGATACACACATGTACACAGCTACATGCACACGTGCACACGTACACACAGATACACACGTGCACCCGCACATATAAGATACATGTGCACAGAGATACGCGTGTGTGTACACCCATGTATGCACACAGGTACCCGTGTACATACATACACACATGTGCACATGGAGATATACATGCACGGATGCACACACAGATGTGCGCACATATACACACACAAAGGGATATTCATGCACACACACACGCCTATATCCTGCATAGACTTCTTTTATGGAAATATCTGTTTTAATGAAGAAAATAACAGCAGGCTAACAATTGATTTATAGTAACCAAAACACACCCTGATACCGATGCTTTCTGTGGGTTCACAAAGTTCCTGGTGAAGCCATGGGAGACACCCAGGTTGCTCTGGCTTCCCAAAGATAATGCCACCAGAAGCCTAAGAGAATGGCAGGCGAGGGAGCTTCCCAGCCTGTTTCTTGACTCTCCACGCGTAAATCAAGACTTGTTAGGAGAAATTCTTTGTGTTCATCTGATCCCACCACCCTGTTTTAGAGATGAGAAGGCTGGTGCAGACCCTGGCCAGTTGGTGAGAGAAACTAGCAGGTGCCCCGGTTCAGCATCCCTCACACGGGTCTGTGATTCTCGCACTGGAGTGGGCTGCAGAGCGCTGGGAAGCCTGCAGGTGCCAGCGCTGGCGCCTCCCCTCCCTGACCCCAACCCAGCAGTGCTGGGCTCTGAGCACCCAGTGGAGAACCAGGAGAGAGGAGAGGAGAAACGAGGAGGCAGAGGCTGCAGGGCACTCATTGCTGCTAGGCATACACCACATTTTTAATAAAATTAATGTAAAAACAGAGGACATTTAGAGATGGCAACACCCAACCCAATGAGGGGTGACACACAGAAACCCCACTCGAAAGCCTGGCTGATTTCAGGGATGACACATGTTCAGCCTTCTACACTAGTGATCATGGTTTATCTGGAGAAAACCATGTATGTGTCACTCAGGGCTCTCGAAGGGAAAGAACAAGATGTTGAAACTCATCAAACCTAGCAGTTATTATGAATAAGAACCACTCATCTGTCCCCGTTGTTAGGACACAATCTGCCTCCAAGCTGACACTGCGTGTCCTGGCCCAAGTGCTGTGGGCTCGCCAGGGGCTCACCACGTGTTCACCGTAGCTCACTGAGGGCCCGCCGGGGACTCGCCGTGTGCTTACCACAGCCCGCCAGGGGACCACTTGGGGGGGGTGGGGGCTCCGTGGCTCACGGAGACTGCAGCCTTGCTCAGGTGGTCACAACAAGGAC